TGAACCAAATGGATTGGGGCACTACTCCCCCCACTGACACAACGATGGGGCACTATTCCTCCCACTGCAAAAACGATGGGGCACTATTCCCCACTGACTTTCCCAAAGTGGGGCACTATTCCCCCACTACACCAAACGATGGGGCACTTTCCCCCCATGATACCCAAAATTGGGGCACTATTCCTCCCCCTGATACCAACGTGGGGCACTATTCTCCACTGATACCAAGTGGGGGACTATTCTCCACTGCACCAACGATGGGGACTATTCCTCCCCCTGACACCCAAAGTGGGGCACTATTCCCCCCACTGACCCAAAAATGGGGCACTTTTCCTCCCACTGACACCATGATGGGGGGCCCATTCCCCCCATGACCCTGAGGGGCACATTCACCCCCTGACCCAGTGATGGGGGGATATTTTCCCACTGCATCAGTGATGGGGCCTTTCCCCCACTGATACCAACGATGGGGGCCCTTTTTCCCCCCATGACATCGTGATGGGGGGCTTTCCTCCCACTGAACCATGTGGGGGGACAAATTTATCCCCGCATCAGAATGGGGGCATATCCTTCCACTGACACCAATGACATGGCACTACTCCTCCCACTGCAAAATACAGTATGAAGTAGCAATGAAAATTAATTTTATGGTTGGGGGTCAACCACAACATGAGGAACTGTATTAAGGGGTCACAGCATTAGAAAGGTTGAGAACCACTGCTCTAAAGCAAAGTGAAGCTATCTCTGAATAAATCCCCTTCAAATGCTGCAGGGTGCTGTTAGCGAGCATTGTGATATACTTCTATGGAGGCTTTGGAGATACTTTGAATCACCAAGAAAGGGACATGGGATGTAATCTTTGATGAGAGAAGCAAAGCAAATGCAACAATGTGAACAGAACTGTAAAGTAACCCATGTTATTTAGTGAGAGGTGCTTTGATTGGCAATCAGAGCTTTTTAAAAAAGTGTGTCCAATGCCACATTTTCAAGCAAGTGTAAACAAGCCCTTAACCCCTTGGTGCGGTTCCTCTTCGCCCTTTAAGGGTTTCTGAAGCCGGGAGGCGGGGCGTGGTTTAGAGTCATGTGACCACCGTGACACGCAGTCATGGCGGTGACATGATCAGCAAAGGTCCCAATCGAAAGAGGAGATCAGGACCTTTCTGTGAGTACCGGACATGTGTGCTGGGAGCGTGCAGGGCGTGAGCTCTCAGCACATATGTTTTTTTTTAATAGAACACAAATGTGTGGCCCACTCGGCATCTAGGCCCATTTGCGTTCAGCTGGCTTGAAAAGGTTAAAGTGACTGGCACCCATCTGTTCACATTTTCCATTATTGCCCAAGAGATCTACACCCTGTGGTGAAATGTCAGCCTACCCTGCCTCTTGGGGTACCACCATGCCTCTAGGGGTCAGGGGCAGCTGCAAATAGTGTATGGTATAGTAGTTTATGGCATTTTCTATTCTTTACAATGTTTTTCCTTTTTTCTACTTTAACGACAGTTCATTTTAATTGGACTTTTGCTTTGAAATATAACAGGTGATTCCCACTGCTACTTCAACTCGTGGATTAACAGTTAATGAACTGCAGAGCCCACCCAAATATTTTATTTCACATAAGCAATATTTACACAATGTTAAACATGTCCGCTGCTATAAAAATCTTATTTTTAGAGCCTTACTGGAGGATAACAATAAAGCATACATCTGTAAAAAAGAATATTAGTAACCAATGGGAGGAAAATCTCCTGAGTCTCTTCAACACAGTCGTTTCACACATGGATAAACTCACACTGAGCCGCTGTCATATGAACAGGTAATCTGCTGTGTGGGTTTCACATCCTATATTTAATCCCTCCACAATCATTTTATATAAAACCTTATGCGACTGACATATATTTTCCATGGTTTGAAATTCCCATTTGAGCATTTCAGAAAGTGTGTAATATCCATTACAATAAATAAGAATGAACATACCGCAGTGAAGTAGAACCTATTCACTAACAGGCACAACTTCTTCATGATGGAAAGCTTGAGAGAAAAGGAAATATATATATGTAACAAAAGAAGTTTGAACCCTTAGGAAATGCATGCATTCTGACATCAATGGATTCTGAAATGTGATCTACTCTTAAAAAAGTCAAAATAAGTAATAAACAGCTAAGTACACTAATTATGGCAATAACTAGAATAAATGGTTTTCTGAAGCTGTTATTCAAACGAGCAGCAGTACAAAAATATTTCATCCACTCATCTATAAAAACAGTTTAGTGTTAAAAGCTCAAATGAACTCTCAGTTTATATCTGCTTAATTCCTTTCTGGTGCATAAAAAACTGTTAAATGAGGCATGCTGGACCTCTGCAGAAAGACTACTGTTTCTCCACAGAAAGCAAGGAACCCACTCTGCAGCATGCTGGCAGAGGGCAGACTTTTCTATTCAGGCTATAGATGCTTTAAAAACAAAATAACCTGTAAGACATCGAACACCTTCTGTTTTGATATACACCTTGTTATGCTTTTGATGAATTAATAATTCATCTAGCAGTACTCCCAAAAATAATATGTACTATCAGGTAATGCCTGGACAATTAATTTTGTCAGCTAAATGTGCTTGAAAATATTGCAATAATTTATAAAATAAGTCAACTGACTTAATTAATATTTCTGAGTAATTTAGAGCCAACCAAAATCCTTTAAAAACACAGATTAGATCAGTGTAATTGTGGATTACAGATTATGAAATAAATTATAATTTATTTACAATAAGTAACATACAAACACATAATGTAATAGCTTGGTTGTGATGCGCAACCTTCTTCCTTTGTAATTGAGGTCTTTGATGTTTTGATATTTTTATGTACTTATGGATCCGCATTTATTCCAGTGGGCCCAGGGGGGTAATTCTGGTGCGTTATGTCGGTAGACGCATCATAATTATCATCTTTACGATGTATACATTTTTTATATGAATGTTATATGTGTTTTTTTTTTAATTTAAGGACTATGGAATATTTTATTATTTTGATATTTTATTATTTCAATTTTTTATATATACATTTTTTTGGGTTTACACCTTATATGATTTACTTTATTCTTATTAGTTTTAGGGATACATATATGTACGTATAGTGGATCTCTGCTAGATGGGCGCCCGTGTTTCATGCACATGTGTCATATCACCATGGGTTACAAGGAATTATAAGACCTGACCCCTCCCCCTTTTTTTATGTCCCAATAAACGGAGAATATATATATGCAGTTCCTCCTGTGAGGCATATATCTATCATCTTTTATGCCCCAATAACCAAGAGTATATTTATGCAGTCCCTCCTGTGAGGTATATAGCTTTTTAAATATCTATGGGACTGTCGCCTGACTGTTTTCCTTGTAAGCGGTGGATCAGTCATTCTGGCTCCAGTCCCCTCCTTAGCATTTGAATATCCACAGGAAAATGGCGGCCATCCCGGTTCGCGCAGGCGCACTGGTGATCGGCTGGATGTTTATATCCAACCGAGAAAATGGCGACCGGACCGGACCGTTCGCGCATGCGCCATCTTTAAGGTTCCCAAACTTCAGGAAAATGGCGCCCGCGCATGCGCAGTAGCGCCGATTGTCAGCGAGGCGGTGCTATTGCGGTTTGGCGCGATTTTTAACATATAAAGAGGCAAATAGACGTCAGGCATGCATGGCATCACCCCTACAGTGGACGTGTATTGACACGAAACGCGTCTAGGAGGAGCCTTTGCACGCCTTGACGTTACGCCGCCGGGTCAGGAGGTCCGGCGGCCCATCCATGGTTTTTACTGGTCAGTGTATAGGATCATCTTTTTTTTGAAGTTGCATTTACTGGCTACAGGCTGCAGGCATGCGTTTTGTAAATTTATATGGCTTTACGTTTTGAATAAATAATTTTAAAACATACTACACTATGAGTATTTTTACTCCTTGCACCTGGTACTGAGTTCCCATACCTCAGCCCCAGCAATTTTTAGGCTCTCTGTGTGGATCCAAGGTGCAGTGTGTTCCGACCAGAGGCACATCGGGCTGGACTCCGGGCAGAGGCACATCGGGCTGGACTCCGTGCAGAGGCACACCGGGCTGAGGCACATCGGGCTGGACTCCGGGCAGAGGCACATCGGGCTGGACTCCGGGCAGAGGCACATCGGGCAGGACTCCGGGCACAGGCACATCGGGCAGGACCCCGGGCAGAGGCACATCGGGCTACCAGGCGAAGCGGCAGGCAGCGGGCCACCGGGCGGAGCGGCAGGCACCGGGCCCACGGGCGGAGCGGCAGGCCTCGGGCCCCCGGGCGGGGCGACAGGCCTCGGGCCCCCGGGCGGGGCGACAGGCCCTCGGGCCCCCGGGCGGGGCGACAGGCCTCGGGCCCCCGGGCGGGGAGACAGGCATCGGGCCCCCCGGGCGGAACTACAGGTCTCGGGCCCTCGGGCGGAACTACAGGTCTCGGGCCCTCAGGCGGAGCGGCGGGTGCCGGACCCCCAGATGGAGCGACAGGCCTCGGGCCCCCAGGCGGGGCGACAGGCATCGGACCCCAGGCGGGGCGACAGGCATCGGACCCCCAGGCGGGGCGACAGGCATCGGGCCCCCAGGCGGGGCGGCGGGCGCCGGACCCCCAGGCGGAACTACAGGCCTCGGGCCCTCAGGCGGAGCGGCGGGCGCCGGACCCCCGGGTGGAGCGACAGGTCTCGTGCCCTCAGGCGGAGCGGCGGGCGCCGGACCCCCAGGTGGAGCGACAGGCATCGGGCCCCCAGGCGGGGCGACAGGCATCGGGCCCCCAGGCGGGGCGACAGGCATCGGGCCCCCAGGCGGGGCGACAGGCATCGGGCCCCCAGGCGGAACTACAGGCATCGGGCCCTCAGGCGGAGCGGCGGGCGCCGGACCCCCGGGTGGAGCGACAGGTCTCGGGCCCTCAGGCGGAGCGGCGGGAGCCGGACCCCCAGGTGGAGCGACAGGTCTCGGGCCCCCAGGTGGAGCGACAGGTCTTGGGCCCTCAGGCGGAGCGGCGGGCGCCGGACCCCCAGGTGGAGCGACAGGTCTCGGGCCCTCAGGCGGAGCGGCGGGCGCCGTACCCCCAGGTGGAGCGACAGGTCTCGGGCCCTCAGGCGGAGCGACAGGTCTCGGGCCCTCAGGCGGAGTGACAGGTCTCGGGCCCCCAGGCGGGGCGGCGGGCGCCGGACCCCCAGGTGGAGCAGCGGGCGCTGGACCCCCAGGCGGAGCGACAGGTCTCGGGCCCCCAGGCGGAGCAGCGGGCACCGAGTCACCAGGCACGACAGTGGGCTCCGAGTCAACTAGCATGACCGCTGGCACTAGGTCAGACATTGGATCGTCTGGCTGGACAGCGGGCATCGGGTCACCAGGCATCAGGTCATTTGGCTCGACAGCGGGCACCGCGTCATCTGGCAAGGCAGTGGGCTCCGAGTCAACTAGCATGACCGCTGGCACTAGGTCAGACATTGGATCGTCTGGCTGGACAGCGGGCATCGGGTCACCAGGCATCAGGTCATTTGGCTCGACAGCGGGCACCGCGTCATCTGGCAAGGCAGTGGGCTCCGAGTCAACTGGTATGACCGCGGGCACTGGGTCAGACATTGGATCGTCTGACCGGACAGCGGGCATCGGGTCACCAGGCATCAGGTCATTTGGCTCGACCGCGGGCACCGCGTCATCTGGCAAGGCAGTGGGCTCCGAGTCAACTGGTATGACCGCGGGCACTGGGTCAGACATTGGATCGTCTGACTGGACAGCGGGCATCGGGTCACCAGGCATCAAGTCATTGGCTTGACAGCGAGCACCGCGTCATCTGGCAAGGCAGTGGGTTCCGAGTCAACTGGCATGACCGCGGGCACTGGGGCAGACATTGAATCGTCTGGCTGGACAGCGGGCATCGGGTCACCAGGCATCAGGTCATTTGGCTCGACAGCGGGCACCGCGTCATCTGGCAAGGCAGTGGGCACCGAGTCACCAGGTACGACAGCGGGCTCTGAGTCAATTGGCACGACAGCGGGCACCGGATCAGGTACCGGATCATCTGGATCAACAGCGGGCATCGAGTCAACTGGCCTAATAGGATCGTCAGGCTGGATCAGTTCATCATGCTGGGTAGAGGCATCAGTCTGAATGCCGGCGTCTGGCTGAGTAGAGGCTTCAGGCCGAGTAGAGGCTTCAGGCCGAGTAGAGGCATCAGGCCGAGTAGAGGCATCAGGCCGAGTAGAGGCTTCAGGCCGAGTAGAGGCTTCAGGCCGAGTAGAGGCATCAGGCCGAGTAGAGGCATCAGGCCGAGTAGAGGCTTCAGGCCGAGTAGAGGCATCAGGCCGAGTAGAGGCATCAGGCCGAGTAGAGGCTTCAGGCCGAGTAGAGGCATCAGGCCGAGTAGAGGCTTCAGGCCGAGTAGAGGCTTCAGGCTGAAGAGAGGCATCAGGCTGAAGAGAGGCATCAGGCTGCATACCGGCATCAGGCTGAAGAGAGGCATCAGGCTGCGTACAGGCATCAGGCCGAGTACAGGCATCAGGCTGAGTAGAGGCTTCAGGCTGAGTAGAGGCTTCAGGCTGAGTAGAGGCTTCAGGCTGAACCACGGAAGGCAGGCTCACCGGTTTGGATACTGGCAGGATGGTATTGGTTGGAAAGAATTTTCGCTTTTTTCTGGTTTTAACTACTGGAGCACTGCAAGTAAATGCAGGTCTGCAAACGAATGGAGCAGCTGGAGACAGAGAAGAACTGGAGGATGGAACAGGAGAGTGAGCAGTTGCTACAGAGGGCTTTTTTACAGGGTTAAAGGCAGGATAGGTGCAGCGAGTGGGAACAGGGTACTGACATGCGGTAGATAGCCAAGTATACTGGGCTGTAACTGGAGGAGCTGTTGGGAATACAGGAGTAGAGTTAGAAGCAGGACTGGGTTTTTGTAAGCTGACTGAGGCTGGGTGCAACAAGTCTGTCCATGTCTGCAGTATGGGTTGAACAAAGCTGAGCTTACACAAAGCCTGTCTGGTCAATGACTGCACTGCGTTTATACAATCTCTTAGTATCTGTGGTGAACATGTGGAATAACGCTCCAGAAAGTAACCCACATCATCCTCTAATAACCACACCAGGGACTCTACCTGGTCTGCACTAAATGGTGGCAAAAATTCATCCCTGCATTCGGGGGTACCAGATGAAACCAACTCTGCACAAACCTCAATCAAAGGCTGCACCTCAGAGAACTCTGTGCCCTGATCTACTAGAACATGAGCGAGCCGTATACATTCTAGCAGTTCATCCCGGGTATACTCCTTCAGAGTTTGATAAGCATACTCCCTGTCATCAAACACTAGCAGATATAAATACGCAACCTCATCCAGATCCATCCTTCCCATCAACAAGCCAAGATGGCTTCCCTGTGCAGCCACTTCTGGTCAGGATTGGCCTTGGTGTAATGTCAGGGCTCCCAGGTATGACCAGAGGTGTGTGACTGAAGCAGGGAAACGCAGACTTCAGATATGTGATTAACAATGTAATTTATTAACACACTAACAATACAAACATAAACGCAGTGCAATACTAAACATAATACAGTGCAAACAAACCCAACCAACCACCCACAGATAACAGTACATACAAGCAAGCGTCGTCAGGCAGGCCGAGTCAATATCAATTGGGCAGGTAGGTACAGGGGGAGCAAGCGGAGAATGGTCGGGGTCACAGGCCAGGTTCAGCAGGTAGCAAGCAGCGTAGTACAGAGGGTCAGGCAGAGGGATGGTCAGGGTCACAAGCCAGGGATCAGAACAGGTAGCAAGCAGCGTAGTACAGAGGGTCAGGCAGAGGGATGGTCAGGGTCACAAGCCAGGGATCAGAACAGGTAGCAAAGGGACAGAAACAGGATGCAGGACAGATACAGGGCCCAGGACAAACACAACACCAAGGCAGAGTCTGCAAGTCTGGCCATCCCTTAAATACACCAGTATCATCAGTTTCAGGTGTTAGCTGGCTGAAAGGTTGAGTCTCTGATTGCTGGGAGCACCCGCTGGCCAGCCCTGGTACTGCAGATCAAAAGGCAGGTGAGTCCCACCATTGCTGGCCAGTCCATTCCTGACACTACCCCAATAGTGGCTATTATCAAGAGGGACCGGGAGGCATGCAAAGATCACCCCAACATTACAATTCTCACTCTAAAGGGCAAGTACACGGTAATCAACAGAGGAGAGGACCCAATATGAATACTACTAAAGGTAATAATAATAATTATAATAAGGGACGCGACAATTATTGTAACGATATAAAGAACTCGAACCACCACCCTAACCATTATCATGACCCCCAGTCAGAGATGCATTTTTTAGGGGGCGGTCATACACGAAAAAGAAGTGTAAGAGCAGAGGACGCAGGGGAGGAAAGAGGGTCAACAGACCCAAAGAAAAGGAAAACGTAAGCGGTCAGGGTATATATAATCTGAGCAATATATCCCTTACTAAAGAGGAATTGGCTGTCTTAGATAAGGGTTTGAAATATGTTCCTAAGACTAAATTCAACAAATTTCAGGCCTATGTGGACATACACAAATTTGCAAGAAAATTGTCAATTAAAAGACATTTTCTTAGTAAAGTCACAGCCTCTAATAATTTAACTATTAACCCTCATTACTCTAACCTCCGTAATGCTTCCCTTTTCAATCCTCCACCACATAAACAGTCTTATATCAATGTGTTTAAAGAATTAATGATTAAGGACCTAGAGAATATCAGAGTTAAGCACCCCCTGTAAACCTAAGGATCTTGGTATAGGTCTGAAGTCACTCCTGAATAAACAAGGATCTTGTTATCAGGCCTGCGGATAAGGGAGGGGGAATAGTCGTCCTAAATAAAAAAGACTATGTAGCTGAGGCCTTAAAACATACTTGGTGAACATCATACTCCCTAAGGACCCCTGTTATTGCTTTTAAACGAACCTAAAGAATCTTATTAAACAGGGACATGAACTCCATGTAATTAATAACAAGGAGAAAGATTTTCTATGTCCTAAGGCACCTAAGCTTCCTGTTTTCTATTATTTGCCTAAAGTACACAAAAATGCCACACACCCCCCGGTAGACCTATTATCAGTGGCATCGGGTCACTCTGTTCTAAAGTTGGACAGTACATTGATTATTTTTTACAACCTCTGGTCCTTGCTACTCCAGCTTATATTAAAGATACTAAACAAGTATTGAATGAAGTTAGTACCTTAAATTGGAATCCTGAGTTGACAACTTTCCTGGTGACAGCTGATGTCGCATCGCTGTATAGTAACATCAGGCTACACGGCGGAAAACCCTAGATCAGGAAATTGACAGGGTAGCCAAACTGGACAGACAGGATATGCTCTTAGGACCACCTAACCCAAAGAAAGATCTGTTTTGTCCTTTCATCACCCCTTACTCTATTCAGCATAAGACAATACGCACATTGTGACCAAAAATTGGGAAGTACTCAGAGCGGACCCCATTCTCTCTAAGTGCTTACCTACAAATCCGGAAATTATTTTTAAAAGGGCCCCATCACTTCGTAACACCATTGCCCCCAATATACTGGATCCACCCACACATCCTAAATTCTTTGGTAATCTGAGGGGTTTTTTTCCCTGTAAGAATTGCCAAATATGCAAGTATGGTAATAGATCTAAGAGGAAAGTTGAATCTTTCACTTCCACCACAACTGGGAAAGATTATGAAATAAACACGTTCATTTCTTGTAATTCATGTTATGTAGTGTATCTTCTGGAGTGCCCGTGCCAGAAGCAATACATTGGAAGGACTACGAGGCGACTTCGTGACCGCCTTCGCGATCACGTCTATAATATCAAAAGGGGTTTTCGTGAGCACTCCCTAATCTAAGCAATTTACAGGGACCATCACCATAGGGATCCCTCTACCCTTAGGTTTACAGGTATTGATGTTGTACAACACCACTGGAGGGGTTCAAATAGAAGTAGGGAAGTCTCGCGTCTCGAGACTAAATGGATCTTTGAGATGAAATCTATGACACCGTTAGGTCACAACGTAGAACTGGACCTAAATTGCTTCATTGATAACAGTTTGAAGCCTGTATATGGACTGACCTCACATATGACAATTTAGTGGTTGGCAGTTCATACAGCCCCCTATATTTTACACAACGGTTCTCAATATGTGGTTTTTTTATGAGTGTTTTTCTAAATATTCGCTTCCTCTACATGCGTCGCTAACATCTTGTAGATCTCCTTTTTATATCTTCTTCTTTGTATTGAGGTCTTTGATGTTTTGATATTTTTATGTACTTATGGATCCGCATTTATTCCAGTGGGCCCCAGGGGGTGGTGCATTATGTCGGTAGACGCATCATAATTATCATCTTTATAACATTTTTGTATGAATGATATGTGTTTTTTTTTAATTTTTATATCTTTTTATTTTTGATATTTTAGGTATTTCGATTTTTATAAATGACTTTATTTTTTAATGTTTATAGGGGATTACGCATAGGGATACATATATTATGATGTTTTTGATATTTTTATGTACTTATTCAGTGGGCCCAGGGGGGTAATTCTGGTGCATTATGTCTCTGGTAGATGGGCGCATCATAATTATCATTTACATGTGTCATACATTTTTTATAGGAATGTTATATGTGTTTTTTTTTTATTTAACGGAGACTATGGAATATTTTCCTTATTTTGATATTTTATTTTTTGCCCCAATAA